TCAAACTAGTTTTAGCACCCATGTCTACAGCACTATTTTTCACAATAGCCAAAAGGTAAAAGTAATTCAAGGCTCATCAATGGACAAATGGATGAACAAAGATGGCTTACAATACTATTCAGCTTTAAAGGGGCATGGCATTTGATGCATGCTGCAGTATGAATAAAACATGAATAAATTTTGCTAAATGAAAATAGTCAGACACACAGGCCTTTAGTCCCAGCATCTGGGATGTAGAGGCAGGTGGATCTCTGTGAGTTCAAGGCCAGCCTGGTCTACAAAGTGAGTTCCAGGACAGCTGGGGCTACAGGGAGACCCTGTCTCAAAAAGACGCCCCCCCCCAAAAAAAATAGCCAGATACAAAAGGACAAATGCTACATCATCCCACTTATATGAGGTACCTGGAGTATTCCCATTCACAGAAACAGAAAGTAAAATTGTGGTTACCAGGGTGTGGGAGGAGGGAAACAGGAGTTACTGTTTAGCAGATACATAATTTCATTATGGGAAGTTGAAAAGGCTCAAGAAGTGGACAGTGATGATGTTTGCAGAACAATGTGAATATACTTAATGCCACTGGCCTGTACACTTAAAATGGGTAAATTCATAAAATTGTGTTATGTGCATTTGCTATAATAATAAAGAATATATAAGGAAAAATAAATATATCTATAAAGCAGTTTATGGTCTAGTAGAAAATATATACATAAATGGCTAAGATATAAACTAAATTATTATAAGCAGCATGGGAAGGATGCATATGGTAACTTTGAAATATGTTCATCATGTCTTCAATATTTCTCCCTTTAAAAAGGTAGAGAGAGCAGTCCTCATAGTACTAGAAGGTGCTATGAGGTTGCTGGGGGAGGATTATCATCAACAGCGTTACCCAGCTGTGGACCCTGTGTGCAACACTACAAACAAGACAGGCTCTTGTTGTGTGCCCACTGGTTAATAGTGGGAAGTCTGCTATGGGGGTAACCAACTGGTCTAATGGGATTTGAGGTTTGTTCAACAGGACAGAATCCTCATCTAGTACTGGAAACCCAGTCAAAAGCCCGTGGCTGGGGGTACCATGGTCCCTAGTGGAGATGTACTGCTGTTATTTTGCTAACTGGACATGATGTATGCATCAAATTGCATTAACTTTGCTATACTCAGAGATTACTGCTGCTATCAGGTTTGGTCAGAGAAGGCTCTTTTTTGGAGTGAACAGTGGTAACTACAGAGATTCATGCTGGTCAAAGTCCTAAGAATAAATGGCAGGCAAATGCTTAGCTCTAAGCAGAACAGCTCTATCATCACCCTGCCCTGCAAAGCCTGGGAAACATGAAGAAGGGAAGGGAAGTATGAAAACGCCAGAAGAAGGGGTGGAGTGGTGGGGAGTGCTGACTTCAGCAGTGACACAGCCACTGCACTCTTGAACTCGCAGCTGCTGTGATTACCTGCACAAGATTTGCACAAGATTGAGCCTGTCAACACCCTGTCACAGAGACAGAAAGGAGCTCACATAACTTCCCTGTTCCCTGAGGATTTATGCACAGTTAATGGTTGGTGAAGGAGGGAGAGACATTTTCTTCAGTACTAAGCTTCCGGTAAAGTACCCCTGCTCCTATAAACAGTCCCTCACCCATGTTCTTGTAATCAACCCTAATGTAACACACCGGCATCATAAAGCAAAAAAAGACATGAAAGCATTAGGGGGGACTATCTGGGAAGAAGATGAGGATCAGCAGGAGTGGGAGAGGCATAAGAGAGGGTAATTGGGATATGGAATACAATCAAAATACATTATATAAACATATGAAATGTAATGAATCCCATTATGTACAATTAATATATACTAATATAAATAAATGATGAATCTTAAGTTTGGAACAGAGTTAAGACTGGAACAGAGGCTCTAGGAAAAAGTAAAGTGATCAGAGAAGAAACCGAGAGGTTTCAGTTTAAATAAAGCCAAGAAGTGAGAGAGGAGGAAGAGGAAATGGTTAGAACAGTCAAATGATGTCAGACGACTGCAAAATGGGAATGAAGAGAACCACTGCTCACCTCCACTTCTGAGCATGGTGGAGGTGATGATGGGGAAGAAGTGATGACGGCTCCAAACAGAAGCACAAGAATTTGTCAGAAAAGTGAGCAAAGAGGTTGGGGGGGGGGTTGAAGAGACATAAAGTTAAAAGAAGTTATTTCTCAGAATAGGGAAATATATGTTTTATGCACAAGAGAAGTAGAAAACAGGAAGAAAATGCAAAAGGAGGGAGCTATAGGGTAGTTATTAAACAGCTTCACTCTGCTGGCTTGGAATCTCAACAGTGGGACCCTGTGCAAGCTGCCTACTATCCAGTACCTCTGTTTCTTCATTGTCAAATGGAGGATGACAGCATTACCCATGTCATAGATTGCTGCTAGGAACAGAAAATGAGTTAATACATAGCAAGTATACAGCACAACAAGGTTAGCTCCTCTCCAAAGTGAAATGCAGGAGAGAGGAGATCCCAGGAAAAGTAAGAAGGGAAAGGATAGCAGGCTGAGAAGTGGCCCAGAAGACTCCTGCTCCCATCCAGCAAGGAGGATCAGTGATGTTGAGGTGGAGAAGTCCGTCCTGCCCATCTCCTCAGACTCCTCTCTCAACTTGCCCTTGCAGGGACCCTTCACCTCAGACCAACCTGTTTTACATAATCCTTCTGAGCATTCCTTGAGCTTTCCATTTCTGGATTTTGCCTCCTGGTCTCTATTTCTATCCAAACTGTTCTTCCTTCAAGCCTCATTTTAAACTGAGTCAATTTATGTCAAGGAGCCCCTCCCACCTCCATCGGGAGCACACAGAATCCACACAGACAGCTAGCTGATATGCTTCAGACTTTAGGAGTCAGACACACACTAAGCCGGAGAGAAGTCACACACGGTACAAGCCAAGCACAAAGCAATCTCAGAAAGTACTTCTGTAAGACTGTGGTCTATGGGAACATCTAGTAATAACATCTCCTCATCCAGACACTAAAGAAATAAGACAAAAACAGCAGATGGAAGCCAAAATTTTGCCTTTCTCATTAATAGAAACATAGCTGAAGGGAAAACGTTAATGTGAGAACACAGTGGGCCTGCCAGCTAGACCCCACAATACAAGGTAGTTACCCACCCCCAGCTGTACAAACTCCCCGTGTGATGTGGGAGCATTTGAGGGGGTGTATTTGAGAGTGAAAGAGCCTTTCTTGGCTCTTGGTAAGCTTAGCTCAAGGGGCTAGGATCCTGGTAAACGCAATGGTCACCAAAGCTGTCCTGAGCTAGTGTGGCCTTTGGGGTTTTGCCTCATGAATTCAAAGAGTGAAATTCAATGACCACAAAGGATGAGTTTTAGGGAGGAAGTTATTGTAAAGTCATAGCTGGGAGTTAGGAAGGGAGGAGAGAGAGAGAGAGAGAGAGAGAGAGAGAGAGAGATACCCTGGCGGGGAGGGGCATGAGCTGGTCAGTCTAGTTGGTCAATCATTAAGTGTCCAGGTACCTCCTCTCAGTGTCAGTTACCACCTCTCTTATTTTCAGGGATGAGAGATAATAAGAAACCAGGAACCACAACTCTCTTCTGGCATTCCTGGCCTTCGGCAAAGACATTCTTGGAACTGCTGTTTTGAGGTCCTGGCCCTACCCGTTCTCATTGCTCACTCAGAGATCTCTGCAGGAAAGCTGGTAATGTGGGGTAACACTCAGGGGAAGTTCTGGAATAGGGGAGCTTGTTTTATACTTCCTGGATTCGTTGCTCAAAAAAGCCACTCTAAACAAATGAAGAGGCAAAAGGGGGGTCAGGAGTGGTTTAAGAAATGTCTTAGGGAGAAAATCTTTCCTTGAGGAAACCAGAGTGCCCACAGGCCCTACTCTTTAGTGAATGTGAGTTCAAGCTGAGCTGAGAGGAGGGTAAACACAAGGGACCCTTGCCCTGGGGAACCTGGGCATTCCTGATTTTGCCCAAGATGTCTGTTTTGCGCTTCATTTTCTTCTCTCATTCCCCCTAAGTTTTGGCTGAGGATTTCACAACTCAAAGTGGGGTTTCTCTCTACAGCCCTCAATCATTCCCATAGTCTCCCTCTGCCCTGACACAGTCACACTCCCTCTGCAGGTGGACTTGAAAAAAAAAAAAAAAAAAAAAAAAAAAAAAAAAACTCCATTGTGATGGCGAGCTTTTGACCTGCAAACTAAGAGAACAGTCAATACTGTTGGTGTTAAAACCGCCTCCCTTGACTTTAAAAAATTCTTAAGAAATAAAAATTAATTTTCATTTTCCCCTTGGGACACAGAGTGAGGAATTGACAGAATCAGCTGGTCCACAAAAGCCAGAAGTTCAGACAGAACTTTTGTAAGGAATTGTAACCCGGGCTTTAAAGCTAGTGTTGCCCAGTAAAATCTTCTGGAATTGTTGAGAATGTTCTGTGTCAATGGTCTCTAGAACAGCAGCTACTAGCCATATAGATAATGTGACGGAGGAACTGAAATTTTATTGCAATTAATTTAAATGTCATCATGTATGACTTCCCATCAGCACCCAAGGAAATAACCTTGGCACAGTCCTAACCACAGCAGGGAAGCTACAGGAGCATCCAGTGGACATCCACCTATACTCCTAACTGAATTGCACAAAACTCATATAAACATCCATTCTTAAATCATCTAATAACTCATTTGAGATTATTACACATGGAGACCAGCTCCTACAATGATGTGGGAGCCTCCATTTTAAGGCACATTTAATAGCTTAAAGACAAACATAATAAAAGTAGTATTTATCTCTGAATAGGTCATATGCATGCCCAAGTGGGTGATTCCTCAGTAACATTTGAGTCAAATTATAGAAGGCAAAATTTAATTATATTTTATTTACATTTAACTCCTTTTAACTACCCAGACCACATTGTCCATGATATGTGTCAGTTATCAATTACCACAATCATGCTGTGTAACAAACCATCCCCAAACTTATGGACTTAAAACAATAAGCATTTACTTGCCTCATGTGTTAATGAGTCAGGAATTTAAGCTGGGGTCCGCTGGGTAATTCTCTTGGTCTCTTCTGGGACTCGCTCATATGTCTGGCAATAGCATATTATCTATAGGAATAGGAGTCACTAAACCACATAGCATCTGTTCTCCCACAGGCTACCCCAGCACATTGTGGCAGAAAAATCAGAAATATGGGCAAATGGTGCTTTTTCAAGCCTCTTCTTGCACCTATAGAACATCACAGGGCCAATCCAAGCAGCATGCTGGATGGGTAGTCAGTACTGGGCTATGCGGCGTGGGCACAGAAGCAAGGAAGGAGTGAAAAGTTGGGACCAGCCATGCAATCAGCCTACCACACCCACACTGTCAAGTTCTGAAATCTCTCTGGAAAAATCACTGAACTACACCAAATTCATGTACCAAATATATTCTTAAATATAAACAAGTAAAACAGAGATCATGTTCCCGCCTCACCCAAAAGGCATCACTGGAGCAGGCCTGGCCCGAGCAAGGGCTTTCATATTTTAGTACAAAGCTAAAGAAAGGGCCAAAAGCACAAAATTAACTGAAATAGAATAGTTATATTTATCTTTGAAAATATTATATTTAAGCTCAGCTGGTATTTTTTTTCTTAATTAGGTAAAATGCATACAGTATGCTGACCATAAACTAACAAAACTTATTTTGAACAAACAAAATTGATACCTAGATAAATTTTCTAATGACACTGAGTGTCAAAACATGTTTTAGAATACCTCTTTTATAACTGCTTTCAGAAACAAAGCCACATCCTTCCCCTGCCCCCAAACCAGGGCACTTTCCATCACAAGTACCAAAATCGCTGCCAGTCAAATGGCTAAAGAGTAAAGGGAATTATCTCACATTAAAAGTGCTTCAGACAGGGCTAGAGTGACCAACCATAGAGTATGCTAAGTACTGAGGGGTTTCCCAGGACACAGAACCCAAACCAGCCAAACTCAGCAAAGTCTCAGGAACAGAAACCACTGGTTGGTGCTCTGTGTGGTTCAGTGTCTTCGAAGGTTCCAGGTCCTTCCTTCCCTCTTTCCGCTGTGCCATCTGCAGCACTCTCCTAAGGCGAACCAGCACCTGTCATGATTGCAAGATGGTGACTAGATCTTTAGGCAGCATGCAGGATATAAAGAAGCATTTTTCTGGCCTCATTATCAGGAGGTCCTATTTTCCAGAAACTTTTAGGTAGCTTCTTCATCTCACTGGCTTGAATCGGATTCCAAGTCTCTTACCGAGACCGGCTTGAGTTCATTAAGAGCCACTTTTGGGGCTGGGTTCTGTTAGCTTTCTGGAGAGCTCTAGGTACACTAGAGTAAATGTGTACCTTGGAATCAAATTAGGATGTTCGGGAAGAAGTGAGTGCTTTCTGCCCGCTGCTTCTGTAATAGCCGGACAGGGATGGAGATATTCTGAAGAGACACTTGTGTTCCTCACTTTGGCTTTCTGACTATAGAAATAATGGACCCCAAGAAATTGAAACTCCCAGAAATTTCATTGCTGGGAGAAAAGAAAGCTTAAAGCCTGGGCCAGTCAGAAAAGAAACTTTTTCCCCCAAATTGATTTATAATTTGTCAGCCCATCTAGCAAGGGAGTAGAGTCAAAATAGTGATAGGCAGGTCCACACCTTGACCGGGTCTGCTTGGACATGCCCAATACTTAAACCTTAATCTCACTTCACAACCCAAAAATGGGACCTAAGTCGGGTAACACTTCTGGATCTTAAGCGGGGCTGTGTAAGCAGGACAGGCAGCCTGGCCCAGAACTCCAGGAAGTGAAAGAAGTCCCAACAAGCTGAAACTGGTATAGTCAGCACCCCAGGAGCTGCTCACAGAGGACTTAGAGAGGAAAGCTGAGCAACGGACTCACGCCCACAAGTAGACAAGTAGAGGGGCAATTCTGTTAAGCACAACGCTTTAAAAAAAAAAATTATTTATTATTTTTACCTTTTTATGTGTAGGAGTGTTATGCCTGCATGTAGGTAAGTGCACCCTTGTGCAAGGCGCAATGAGGACAGAAGAGGCTGTCGGATCCCGGATCCCCTGGAACTGAAGTTACCAACCGTTGTTAGCTGCCATGTGGGTGCTGGGATTCGAACCCGTGAACCCGGATTTTCTGCAAGAACAATTAGCGTTCTTAACCACTGAGCCATCTCTCCAACCCCAACCTTTTGAGCATTAAGACAAAACAGCCCTGCACCCCTTAGAACAAGTCACCTGATCCTTTGCGAACACCGGAAGCCTGCGGACAAGGGGATTCTGGGAAGCGTAGTTCCACTTCATTTGAGTTGACTCGCTATCTTCATTTTCACAATGGCATAGTTAAAAACCTCAAGCAAAGTCTAGGAAATGAGGCAGGTGAACAGGTTGAGCTCTGGAACTTAGCTCTTCTGAAACAATCTGCCACACTTTAACTCTCATTCTTTTCTTTCTTTCTTTCTTTCTTTCTTTCTTTCTTTCTTTCTTTCGTTCTTTCTTTCTTTCTTGTCTTTCTTTTTTTCCTTTTTTTTTCTTCTTTCTCGCATGTACTGGATCACCCGCCAGAGCAAAGGACAGCTTGCCAAGTTGTTCAACCACTTCCATCAACACAGCTGTGTTCCCACTGTCGTGGGGCCTGTGAAAACTATGCTGTGGGCAACCCCCAAGGGAACCTTCCACTTCAATTAATCCTACGAGCTTGGTCAGCCCAAATATCTTACTGAACCAACCCAGTAAATCAAAAGCACTGTGCCCAGGAGACAGATATCAATAACTTCCCCCTATGGTCTTGAAAGATTTATCAAGCCTCGACAAGGCAGGGGAGGACAATATGAAAAGCAAAATCACACCAGCAAGGGAGAGCCTGCTTCAAGGCTACTTAGTGCAAACGGATAATGTAGAGATGATTACTGTATCTATGTAGACATCACAGAAGCCCCAACTTTTTTTTAATTTTTAAAAATGATTTATTTAATAACAACATACTTAGACGACAAGGCAGGGGAGGACAATATGAAAAGCAAAATCACACCAGCAAGGGAGAGCCTGCTTCAAGGCTACTTAGTGCAAACGGATAATGTAGAGATGATTACTGTATCTATGTAGACATCACAGAAGCCCCAACTTTTTTTTAATTTTTAAAAATGATTTATTTAATAACAACATACTTAGAAGAAGCATATCATTACAACACAATTGACATATTCAATAACGGTTTCCTGAGGTAGGATGCATCTCTTTCAAAATTGGCTGTAAATTTTTAGGTTTACAGTTGAATTAATATAATTA